GTGAACATTCCATTAGCCTACTGCATCCCCTACATACAATTGCCTGGTGGATTATCAGGATAGCACTTACAGCCAGTCTCCATAGCCCTGTACCAATTTATACACCTGGGTACCCAAGGACACAACACAATTCCCATGTTCAGCGCTCAAAACCAAAACGATCAAGTCCAGAGCACACTAACCCATAATATAGGCCATCACATACTGCACTGTACTTAACAAAGACAAGCAGAAACAAGAAATATTAAACAATTTACTCATAATCGTTAGTCCTTGTTGTACCATAGGCGAATATGAAAGCCTCAAACAGTTTATTTACAGTGGACAAAATTTGTTTCCAAGTCAAAAATGATTTTTGTTTTGTTTTGTTTGTTTTGTTCATTTTATCTTCCACACAAAAGAAAATTACAAAAACACACGAAAAATTTAATATGCTATTTGAAAGATGCCAGTAATCTGGTGTGATATTTACATTTATAGGCTGACTTTCTGTAAGTCTCAACAATATTACTGTCACTTGCATCTAAGCGTGAACACGTGACTCCGAAACATGCTCTAATTGGGTGTCAAACCTGGAATTATTAGTCATCAAACATTTGAAGTTTAGCAGACTGTAACACAAACTTTCACGCTAAACGTTCAGCACACAAAATGGCAGATAGATTGGACATTAAAGATTTCTTAAGAGAAATTGACCCTAACCTGTGTCGATATGCATACGTCTTTCACTAAAGTGGTTTTACTTCTAGTATAATAGTATTTGTCGATGGTGAACATTTTGAGTTTTCAAAGTGAAACGTTTTGAGTGAACATTTTCACGTTACGGTCTGATAAACTTCAAATGTTTGATGACCAATCATGCCACATTTGACACCCAATTAGAGCATGTTTTGGCGTCACGTGTTCACGCTTAGATCCAAGCGACAGTATGTGGCCAGGGAAACAATTTCTCTTTAGAGTGTCAATATGGTTGTGAATGTCTTCGTGGAAGCCCCTCCAGGTGTTGATAAATTTGNGTTCACGCTTAGATCCAAGCGACTGTGTGCAGTTGTGTAAGAACCAGCTGTATGACACACAAACCACCATAAGTAACACCTCCTTAAATAAATTTAGACTACTACCTGACAACAACAGGTGGTAAAATGGAAGAGGGCAGAAAATTCAAATACAAATTCACAGCAAAGTGTTTAACCCAGGAAAAACCTTCTGAGTGATTCAATAGTTATTACAGTGTTGTGGTGGAAAGCATTGATTTCAGAAACAACTTAACTTCACCATACTTATGGGAAACTGATCAGCGTAAAAATTACGCTTTATTCAATAAACCACAGAGCTGAGTTTCCGAACGCGAACCGATGCAACAAGAACTTAAAGTATGCTTTGAGTTACATGTGAGTCCCCAAAAAATTATTTGTAGCTGTAACACGAGGTTAAACCTTTAATTCTGGAGCCTAATGGACTATACAAATGCGCAAATCATTCATATCTTAGTTTAGACAACCCCAACGGAACCGGGAACAAATTTTCATTCATTGTTTGAATTTGCGTCAATTGTTGCTACACAACCGTGAAAACAAGGAGAGCTTGAAGCAGCTCATTAACTATTCACCTTTAAAATATGAACATTTGTAGACCGCCAGCAGAAGCGTATTCAGTCACAGGATCGCAAAACCTTTGCACTCGACCCGGATAAGCTATTGAAGGAGTTTATTAATAACTAACATCGATCTACTTCTTGTCATCCGAAAACAAGCTTGATGTTAAACGAGGAAATAAAAATAAGTTTTCTTAATCTTCAGACTCACCATGCAAATTCCACCGAAACTTTATGTTACTGAACACCCTTACCATATATGTGATGGATCCTCCAATGCATAAAAGCGCGTTGCAATTGTCACAAACAACATTCCTCCAAAGCCCAGTAGCCGGCCAAACAACTTGGGGTTTACTTTAGCCAAATCGTTCGATTTCCCCTTGTGTGATACTTCTTTCACGGTTTCTCGTGCTATCTCCGTGGGTGATGGCATTTCTGACTCACTGTCACTGTTCTTGTCTGCTTTCTTGGTTTTTACTCCCTTCCCTGGTGTCATATTTGTAAGATGAAGTTGTGAAGTCGAGTTTCTTATGCTGTAATTTACCGCTTACTGTTTGCCTGAAATGGCGCCGAAGCGTGGAAGCGCGCGCCTGCACGATTTTCGGAACCCAGCGGGCCCCAGGCTCTGCTCGGCCTTCGCGCCCTACTCCTTCAGATAACAAAGTACCTGATTTTTCTCTCGACCTGAAAAAATTCTGGCAAGAGATTCGTTGAAAATAACTTAAAAGATTCAGGATGCATATTGAGGATTTTTCTTTTCACTCCATTGAAATTCAGATAAAGATATTGAAGATTATTAAATTAGTGGTGAGTGGTCAACTGGTTATACATTTTATCGTAATTTTTTTAAATTTATTTATCCATTTATTTGGTTTTTTTGTTTGTTCATTTAGTTATTTATCGATTTACCTATTATTTTAGTTATTCATAATTGTTGTAAAGATCCACATCAGCCTAAGGCTACCTGGAACTCGACCTTTTTTGTATAATAAACGGTATGTAGGCATGTATGTATGTAAATTCTGGATACTTAATTAGTCAAGAACGATTTTCCGAGGGTTTGGCAGTGTATGTAGATATGAACATTTCGAACAAATTGAATGAATCTCTTGTGAAAAGAATCTGAACATTCGGTAAAATTGTTTTAATTTAAACAATCAACCGGAACAAAAGAGAAACATTGACTTCTGTCAACTGCCGTCAACTCAGCAATAGAGGAAAAACTCACTTACAACTGTAAGCGACAAAAGTGAGTAACTATAAGCCGTTAAGATCCCACATTAAAATGATCACAATTTTTAACATCAGCGCAAAGTCTCCGAGTGGATGTGATTGTCGAATGGGACAGGTAAGCGGCAGCCAGTGCTAACTGGAAATAAACGTAAACCTTCGAAATGTCATTTCTTCTCACCCCCTCCCCCTCCCTCGCATAGCCCCAGACATAAACATAAATCACAGATCAGAACAACAGCATCATTCTATGAAAGAAAGCATCACAATTGAACGAAATCTTTGTACTAACCAGATATGCGATGGCAAAGTCAGATTGAATAGCCTTGTTCCAAATCCAAGTGCAACAATGGCCAGTAGAAGAAGCAGTCTCCTAAGCCATCGGGGCAGCTTCTTTTCCACCTTACTCGCAGCGCCCCCAATAACCGACAGCCACTTTGGAGAGGGAGATTTCTCCTGCTCTTTCTTGTTCGGTAATTTAGCTCTAAGAACTGCTCTCTTAAGTTCAGCTTTAGTTCTGCCTGTACTCTTGCCAGCCTTTCTATTGCGGATATCTCCATTATGGTGTTTAACCCCAGCGTCTTGTAATGTTTTACCTTCTTTGTCTATCTCACTTTCATCGGCTTCGTTTTCGCGTAAATCATCGTCCTTTTTAACATCTCCGTTTTGATAGCTATTGTCCTCTTCGGAGCTTACTTCGGATCCCATTATTATGAAGGAAAGGTTGGCCTTTAAGCCCGCGAGCTAACAAATAAAATTTTACTTTGCAGAGCGTGGTTTACGCAGTCCACGTCGCGCTTTTATTGCATATTTAAATTCAAAATTACACGTGAACATTGGTTCTGTTGGGTAAATGTATCAAAACATTCCACTCGAATGTCTATTGTCTTGCTTGGTAACCGAAACAAACCCGACTGTTGCACGCGCGTGTTTACTATCTTTTAATACAATTTTAATGAAGGAGCTACGTTACCATGGTTACCATGGTGAGTGAATGGGAAATTTTCAGTAGCAACAGGAGTAATGCAAGGTTTATCCCCCTCAGGTTTACAGGTTAATGTTTATAGCTTTGGTTATGTAAAACTGTATATAGGAAGTAAGTATTTCTTATAGGGTGCAAATGTAATACGAATGAGCCTCGTGGCTCATCACGCCAGCGCTTACCTTCGGTTTCTGTAGCATGTAGCGACCAGGAGTTTTTCAACTATTTCCTGGATGGGATGCTAGTCCGTTGCAGGGTTATTGAACAAGCGTGAGGTCCGTATTGAAGAAATATTGGTCAAGTTCTTTTTCTTTTCTTTTTTTTGGCATGTTTATGGACCAAGCCGCAGGAGAAGTCCATAAACCTGCGAAAATAAAACAAAAAGACGAGACTAATATTCCGGCTCCAATACGAACCGAACAAGCTAGTTCAATAAAGTCTTTATCCAAGAGATTATGGTCCCTTGATTTATTGTAATGACTCTTTTTCATCTTTTCAAAATAAAACACTGCGATGAAATGGAAAATCATTAAAACCATTTTGTTTTAAAATAAATGTCGAGTGGATAAAATAGGTTCGA